CAGTGATCATGTAGCACCAACACGAGCCCTGGTCATGACTAGAAGGCTCTCCACAATTAATGTGATTCATATCACCAACCGAACTCCTACAGGCCGTTACAGATATTTCCACCATCCCGCGCGTAGGGCAAATTTGCTTCTTAGGAGTTTTTGGCCGTTAAACAAGCAAGGTAAGCTACACGCTAACAAGCTAACGTTAAATTAGCCGAGCAGACAACATATGATAACCAATTTATATCCCCAGCGCTTTGGGGGATTATAGCGCAGCGCCGAGCGCAGAGAGTGGACGCGTTACCTCGATCCTGGAAAAATTACGTGCGGATGATCATTTTCGTCGTGTTTCTTCGTTCTGATCTTGACGGATAAAAGGTCGCTTTCTCCCTCGGTTCGGTTTGGATTTTTCAAAATAAAATGGCGACTGTCACGGCACGCGCGCGCACCCAGTGCGGTGCTTATTGAGCTCGCGCACGAGCTCGCGACTACGCAACATATGAAGTGATGCGCGCTGCCACCGCGCCCCGCCTCTCCCTGTGCGCACAAACACTATAAAAAGACGGAGATCTGCGCAGATGCGAACACACACCTGTTGCTGTGTGAACGGATTTACAACAACAACGGAGATTTGTAAGAAGATGCTTCTTTTTTTTTCTAAACAAGAACATATCTCTAAAAAACACAGTTTATTGATGTAATACATCGAGTGTATACTGAATGCAGGCCCATAGCCAGCCTGGTGGTGATAACGATGGTTCTTTTTTTCCCCTCATAAAGTCCTTTTGCAGTTATTCGCCTCATCTTCTATTTCATTATGAGGTTTAAATACTGCATTCTAATAATATTTTAAGCACCTTTTTGTTTAAATAGCTGGTCATTTTTGATGTACCAAAAAATTTTCTTTAAGATTTTGAAAAAAAACTTTAAAATACTAATTTATTATGTGATTTATCGTTAAGAAAAAAAAAAAAAAATATATATATATATATATATATATATATATATATATTTTTTTTTTTTAAATGCATCTTATGTTAATTTATTTAGGCAAATAACAATCTAACCAGCACATTCAAATTACCTTAGTTAGAATTTGGTCATTTGAATAAAAAAATAAACAATATTAATGTAGAGCTTCACAATTATTTTTGATTTGTCTCTTGTAAAAAGTTCAATTGAAAATTCACAGAAAACAATAGCCTGATTATTATTAAAATTAAATGTAAAATGGGCTGCCTGTGTTTCATGAATAAGTTCCACGATTTAGAATAGAAGTTTCTTGTAGTTTTCTTTATTTAGCAACAATACAGTAGGTCAGTAGTGAACGATAGCTTAACTTTCGTCAAATTGTATGTTTTCTGGCACAGATGTTGGACTCATGAAAAATAAATGTTTGCACTGGCCAGAACACATCAGCTGAAGTCACGACAGCAACAGAGGATTCCACTCGGTCTTCTTCGATGGATTTTGTTCACAATTTATGACAGAATAGCAGTCAAAATAAAAGAAATGAGGTCATGCATGGGACAAATTCTGCACCTTTGTCAGTGGGGACTGGGTCTTTCAAACCACCCGAACCCCCTGGCTATGGGCCTGGAATGTTCATCATTGTTGTAGGAAAGTATGAAAATTGATGTTTGCTCTAAAAACCATTTAGAGTTTAAATCAGTCAGTTGTAGCATAACACTAAATGGAGAGTTCACCCAAAAACGACAATTTACTCGCACTGAAGTAGTTCCAAACTTTTTTAAAATGTAAAATAATAAAGTCTAAAGAAAGCTGTGAATCGGTAACCATTTACTACTCTAATTGGTAAAACAAATAGCCTACTACTGAGGTCAATGGTTAACAGTTTCCAGTTTTTTTCAGAATTTCGTCTTTTGTTTTTCAGAATTTGACTTTTTAGCTTTGGATGAACTATCCCTTTGGATTTTGAGCGTAATTATGGCTAATTACAATAAAACTGGCCTGGAAATTTATCAACAAAAAAACGTATACAATTATATAACTGCATAACGGTTTCATTTTATCCAAATAAATGTATGTAGAAGGTTCGGGAAATGTATAATTTTATGTTAGTTTATATATAGTTCACATAATTTTTTGCAAGTTGGCCCATGGTAACCTTTGATTTGGCCCACCATCACATCTGAAAAGAGAGGGAAAATGATGCAACAGTATTTGTGGTGAATTCCTTTAACGATCTTTGAGCTACAAAAAAGCCAACTGAACCTAATTATTAAGAATATGATGCCACAAGCTAGATACACCTATCTTTGGGAATTTTTGCATGTTTCTCTTTGCTATACTTCTACCAGGTTGGATGGAAAGTGACGGTGTACAGCCATCATCAAATGTCTTTAGGGTTGGTCAATAGGATTTAGATCTGGGCTCTGGCTGGGCCACTAAAGGACATTCACTGAGTTGTTGTGAAGCCACTCTATTGATATTTTGGTGGTGTGCTTTGGGTCATTGTCCTGCTGGAAGATGAACCGTCACCCCAGTTTGTGGTCAAGAGCACTCTGAAGCAGGTTTTATTCAGGATGTCTCTGAAAATTGCTGCATTCATCTTTCCTTCCATCCTGACTAGTCTTCCAGTTCTTGTGCTGAAAAACATCCCCACAGCATGATGCTGCCACCATCATGCTTCACTACCGTCATGCTTCACTGTAGAGATGGTATTAGCCTGGTGATGAGCGATGCCTGCTTTTCTCCAAAGGTAACGTCTGGCATTCACTCCAAAAAGTTACATTTTAGTGTCACCAGACCAGAAAATTTAGTTTCTTATGGTCTGAGAGTCCTTCAGATGCCTTTTGGCAAATTCCAGGCGGGGAGTGGATTCCATCTGGCCACTTCACTATACAGGCCTGATTGGTTGATTGCTGCACAGATGGTTGTCCTTCTGTAAGGTTCTCCTCTCTCCACAGAAGAACGCTAGAGCTCATACAGAGTGACCATCAGGTTATTAATCACCTCCCTGACTCAGGCCCTTCTTCCCTGATCACTCAGCTTAGATGGCCCGCCAGCTCTAGGAAAAGTCCTGGTGGTTCCAAACATCTTCCACTTACGGATGATGGTCCTCATTGGAACTTTCAGAGCAGAAGAAATAATTCTGTAACTTTCCCTAGCCTTGTGCCTCGGAACAATCCTGTCTCGGAGGTCTACAGACAATTTCTTTGTCTTCATGCTTGGTTTGTGCTTCAACATGCACGGTCAACCCTGAGAACTTTTATAGATAGATGTATGCCTTTTCAAATCATGTCCAATCAACTGAATTTACCACAGGTGAACTCCAATTAAGCTGCTGAAACATCTCAGAAATGATCAGTGGAAACAGAATGTACCTGAGCTCAATTTAGAGCTTCACGGCAAAGGCTGTGAATACTGATGCATGCGATTTATTTATATTATTATTAATTTATTTTTTCAAAAAATCTTTTTTTCACATTGGCATTATGGGGTATTGTGTGTAGAACATTGAGGATTCCATTTTGTAATGAGGCTGTAAATTAAAAAAAGAAGAGTGAAAAAAGTAAAGCTATTCACTATGGTATATATTCGGCCACAGAGCTCAATTAAGTTTGGTTTTTGGCCCGTTATTATTAAAGTTTGGGCACCACTGCCATTGATAAAGAAAATGATGAGGTTATTTTTCCATATTTCTCCTCTATAAAGTCCTTGTGAATTATTAACAACAAAAAAAAGCCAAACGCGAAACCTCATATTCACTCGTAGAACTTTTATTATGTACAGGCCACATTATACAACTGAAAATCCCAATTTATATAGCTTAAGCCGTGGATTACAGCGTCACAAAAATGTTCAACAAATCATACAACCATATAAAAATTTAAAAACAGCTGAATGCAGTGAAAAATGGAAGGACACACCATGTACAAACACGTAATTGATTGCAAGACCGAAAAATGGAAAACACAAGCGAGAATGCCAAATAAATACTGTACAAGTACTGCATGGTACAAACCCTGCCTGCAGGCCAGCAATGTTTCAATTGAGCACATTTAGATACTTGCCGTGTTGAAGAAAACAAAAACAGTGTAGTGTAACAACGAATGCAGGAAGAGTTGAGTGCAGTGCGGCGTTAATTCATAGACCAAAAACAATCCAATTCCTTAAAGAGAGCACATCGAAATCAAACTTCTCACTGAAATACACATGCACTTTGGCTCAAATCCTGCTTAAACAAATAGCACCATCATTAAAAAGGGCAACAACATTAGGTGCTACATTAATGGCATTGTGGTATGAAACAAACCATCATAAAAAGCCATAAAAGATGGCATACAGTAAAAATACTGTATTCAATTCCAAACACCTTTAGACTGAAGCCCTTCAGAGAAAAATCCTGTCAGTCAGAAAAACAGTCTGTATGGGAGCCCTGAGCTGCTGGATTTGTATTAAAATCAGTTCCTGGAAGCTTCTGGAATGTGCGTTATTGCCTGAAAAGCTCTGTAGATCATGCTGTAAATGAGAAAAGTAGGGATATTCAATAATAAGTGTTGTTTTTTTTAATGTTTTTTCTATTTATTTCGCTGCCTGGATATCACAAAACCTGACTTCTATGATTAAAATATTTGGCATTCATCAAAGGGAATCCAAAACCTTGAGCTCAAACAATTACCTGAGGTCTTTCACACATACAAAAACAAAACTGAGTAAACTACCTCCAAATCTCACACACGTATATCTTACAAAACGCCATATTTTAATACACGCTGTTGGTAAAATTGCGGGGATTTTTTTTTTCTTTTAAAAAAATAAATACTCTATTTTTTTAATTCTTTGTTAAAAGATGAGTAGCCAAATACATTTCAAATGTAAAAAAAAAAAAGTAAAAAAATTCTTATGCTATACACAGCACCAGGTTAAAACAGTGTTTCAATGCTTTCAATTCACAGAGGCAGCGATTCGGAAACCAGATCTAGTACAAAAAACAGATTAAAATTCAGAATCACAATTTGTTTCTTTGCTTTTTTTTCTTTTTTTTTTAAGGAAAAAAATCACCTTGAGGTAACAAAAATGTTGGCCAGGTATTTTGATTAAACATTGGCTTTTTTTTTACACAACACATTTTGTTCTTACCCACAACGCAATACAGATACGGATGACATATTGTGCACAAACATCTAAATGCGTTTCGAAACAGACCCCGAATGAACAACAGAATAAATTCTTTCATCAGTAATAAATACGTCATTTAATAACAGCACCAAAACATTGGAATAAATTAAAGAAATTGTCCTGGTGTGAACAATGAGCCCACTAGATGGCGACAGACGACCAAAATGTACCTAAACTACCCAAAATATATCAAGATAATACAAAATACACTTTACTTTCTCTCAAAACGTGACGACATTTTGATTGACAGGTAGTTCTGGGTGACTCTTGAGGCAGTGAGTGCAAATTTTCGTTTAATTTGCGAGAAAGTCGGTTGCCATCACAAAATATGAAGACCAAAGTCAAGCACCTTTACGAAATCAGTCCATCACTTGGTTAAGTCGACATCCTGATGCATTTTAGTTGAGAAAAAAATTGAAAACTTTAAAAAGCGATGTTTTCAGTCATGTTTTCCTTGTTTCTTTGGATGTATCTTAGCAAAACAGATCATTCCATAGCTTTAGGTTTATTGGTAGCGAACACCAATCTTTTTTTTTCTTATTTGACCTGCTGTGTTGACTCAAACACACTTGATACCCTGTCACCTTTACACACGGTTAGCATCCTGAATCCTCTGCCATTATTGGGACTACACAAAAAAGGGTTTGTGTCTGCTGAGTTTGAGAATCTTGCCCAGTCTCTGCTTCGCTGTGGCCATGCCTTTCTTAGGACGTTTACCTACAAGAAAACAAAAAATAAAGAATAAATAACATAAATGGAAAGGGCATTAAAAATGAAACATTAAAAACAAAAATCAAAAGAAAACAATAAAATTTACATACATTTTGTATTTAATTTTAATATAATTTTTTTTTTGTTAAAGCTATAAATAATAAAAAATAAAAACGCCACAAAAAATATCAAATAAAATACAAAATAAAATACAATTACTGTATTATTACTTTGCTTTGGTAAGAATAAATAGAAAAAACCCAAAAAATATTAAAATAAAATAAGTTATGCATAATAAAATAAAAACATTGAATAACGAAATAAATTTTTTTAAATAAAAGTATAAATAAAAATAAATAAAAAAAACACCACAAAAAATTATTATGAAAACACATAAAAAAAAAAATTATTGTATTATTTTTTTGTGGTAAAAATAAAAACTATAATAAAATAAGTCATACATAATAAAACAAAAGAACAAACAAACCAAACAAATAATAATAATAATAATAAATAAATAAATAAACAAAAATCTGACAAAAAAAAACAACAATTGTATTTCAATTTTATTTTTATTAAAATAAAAAGTAAAAATAGCACAAAAAAAACACACACACAAAACAGTTTTTTTATTTTATTAAATATATTTCAATGTGCAAAACAGTAAAAACAGGCCACCGCTACCTTTGGTGGCCTGATTGCTGACTGGTGGAGGGTTTGCGGCAGGCCTCTTAGACGGGTGCAGTGGTGGTGACAGTGAGGTCTCACAGTACTGATAGGTCATTGTTGGGCTTTCCCTGTGAGCTGGAGACTGTGTGCAACTGCTCCACGTTTCACTACTACTGCTGCTGCTGCTGCTGCCCTGACTGTCCATGAAGCTCTTGTGCTCCTGGATCCTGTGCTGGAGTTTGCTCGAGTGGCATCCTCCTCCTGAGTGCTCACGAGCCTCAAAATCCTCCTAAAGAACACACAAATAATGACTTGATAATGAAAAATAGGTCTCACAAAAGCATATCCAAACAGTTAACCTCAAATCTCACAAATGTTCTGTCTTTAAAGGTTTATTAGATAAAAACCCATTTCTGTTTATAAAAAAAAAATCAATTGGCTACATTTCAGTCAGTAACCTAAAAGTGATAAAACTGTAATTAGCATTTACTGTTAATCATGCTAACGGTCCATACACAGCCTGTTTTTTTATGGGGCCAATAACAACGAACGAGCCCTTACATTCTGAGATCGTGAGGCACACCACACTATGTTTTTTTGTTGACAGGAACAAAAAAACAAAGTGCACTGCGCTTTTTATGTCGCTAGGCAACCAAATCAATCAGCTGCCTATTGACCCTATTCACAAGACTGTTATGACAAGTTAAAGGTTAATCATAATCTTAAATCTTTGAAAGTTTATTACGGTTTTTTGTAGTCATCTATGCATAATAGCATCTTTGCATCCAATTATAAACAACTAATTACCACTTGTGTGAGTTATTTGAAATGCAAAGTGTAAGGGCAGGACAGTAAATATCATTTGCCGTCTTTTTTCTTTTTCTGAAAGTCTTGAAAACACCATCATGGAGTTTTTATTTTATTATTCCAGCAAATAGTGTTGTAAAAAATGATTTGTTGTACTCTCCCATTCACTGCACTCAACTAGGACGACTCCTGCTACTGAGAAACCCGGAAATGTGAAAAGGATCCATTGTGCGCAAGCGATGCTGTTGATGGTTATAATTATATTATTTAATAATATTGTGATGTTCAAGATCTGTGAAGTCATACAGCTCCGCATAACTCAAAACAGCGACCACTAGTCTCTCTTTCATCTTTAAAAGTCACATACATGGCTGTCACTCAACGGTTTTCATGTGAACAGCGTCTCTCTGGGGCAGGACACATAGGGCAGAGTAGGACTGGTGTTCACACACAAGCTCACACAGTCAGCCGTACACATCATTGACCAGGAGTCAGAACGATGACAAATCCTACAAGGTTAAAGGTAGTGTTTGCAAATTGGAAATTTAAGCATTACTTTTCCCTCGTTGATATATAAGGCAAGAATGTTTATGTATCATGCAACTTAAGACCAGCAAAAAAAAAAAAAAAAAAAACAGTGTCGGTGAGGAGTAATTCTAATCTAATGAAGCACCTCACGTTGTCGCATGCAGCCACAAAATTAGTGGAGATGAATCCACGGCGTCAAAGCAAATAAAACTTAATTTCTCCACCGCAAACACTTACTCAGACAGAATAAAACAAAATAATATCTAGATATACAGTTGAGAACATGCTACCGTTGTCTCTCACACTGTCCCACAACAACATTAAAATAGTGTCGATTTGTGTACAATGTTTTATATTTATTTTATAGTCATCTGACAAGTTAGATTTTTTTTATTGAAGTAATGCAGTAGTTACTTTCTATGGTAATTAGTTCCTTTTATAATTATGTAACTCAATTACTATTTGTAAGAACTATAACTAATTACTCTTTTAAAGGAACGTGCCCAACATTGTTTAATACACTGTTTCCTTTAAAAAAAATTAAAAATCCATTCTTTAAATGCCATCCACCATAATTTGTTTGGTTATTTAGGCAATGGTATTGATTGGTATGGTATAGTTTATGTATTTATATTTATTTGTTTTTAAAATAGGCTGGTATATAGTCAGGAAGAGAAAGAGGATGAGACTGGGAGATGTCCAACCCCTGAAGTACAATGGCGATATCAGTGGACTGCACACAAGGCTATCGTAGCCAATCTGGTGCCTTTTCAAAAGCATCGAATTGACACTGGTATCATAAAAACTAAACCCAGATCTTGTTGCATTATACAAAATATGCATGTGTGCATCTGTTATAAAAGTCATTGAGCAAGTTACCTGTGAAGAATTGCTGTCTGAATCCTGATTCTCCTCTCCTGATGCAACCTTCTTTCTACCTGTGAATCGAAAAAGAACATGCAACCATCATCAAAACAGCACAATTACCAACAATTAAAAGAAGTCGTCTTTCTTACTGTATTCAGGAGAGGTGTGGTTGGTCCGAGACCACCAGGATTCCTGTGAGCTGCTGGGATCTTTTGTTGGGTGAGAATACAGCAGTCCTGCAACAGCCAGCATTCCCTGGATAGCATCCTCTTCAGCACTGGCCAAGGTGACCGATTCTCTGCAACATATGATTTGAGATAAAGATTTACACATGCAGAACTCCAATGTGTGTGCCAGCATGCATTGTGGCCCCTGTTTTCAGCTGGGACGAACATATGTTCATATAGTGGCTCCTTTAAATGCATTTCAGCATTTACAGTATGAAAGCAAATGGACTGAATGGGTTTTTAACCATCTTTGGAAGAGGTTGAAGGAGGACACAATTAAAAACATCACAGTTATAGCACAGTTTGGTTCAGTATGGATAGGTTTTAGGGGCTATTTTTACCGCATTTCGTACCTAGTACTTGAGTGTGGTTCCAATCAAGAACTAGAATTACCAAAAACATGATTATCACCGATTGGTCAGATAGAATCGTAACCATCAGCCTCATTGAATTTGCAAGACGAGACTCTAAACCCACTATATTAAATTGTATTGTAAATAGTAAATATATTGTTGGCTTGTGTCCCGATTTGTTCATGTTGCGCAAACGATAGAGAAAAGATGGCGCAACTATTTGACAATTTCACCCCTTTTAAGTGGCACAAAATGAACCAAAGTGATTAAATTGACAAAAAATGCACCTTAATTTCAGAAAAAAATGAAAAAGCAAGAATTCATATACAGCTCATGTCATCCCTCACCTTTTAAGACATTTTTCAAAACTGCTAATTCTTCGCCGGGACTTGTGTGTATCCATAGTGAAGCTAGAGCAGCTTTTGGTGTTAACTTTGTCGTCTCCAACCCTCTTCATCTTTTCATCCTCCTCTTCCTCTGAAGAACTCTCGGATTCCTCCTCAGAGCAGTTCTTTTTCTGTGTGAATAAGTAAGTAAAATTAAACCTAAATGGACTCCATGTGTTTGATGTGAATGAAGGGAAAGCTCAGCATACCTGTGTAGTAAACTCTGTATCCGATTCAGAGTCTGATGAAATGTCTGAAAGTACTGATTCTCTGTTCCTGAGATCTGAACTCTCTTCTTTACTCATATCTGTAAAAGAAAAATACATTGTGTCAGTAACAAGCATAAGATACTAGGGGTGAGACGAGAAGCGACACGAGAAGAGATTTTTATACTATTTTTTGGAATCCTCAATGATGACATTTATGAATAGAACTGAATATCCATTTGCTGAAAATATGAATTTTAACTGGGGGAAAAATGCAAAACTATTTAGGTGTTTTTTTAAATATATTTTTAAATGTAACGAATGCTATTTTACTTCTATTTTAATGAATTATGGCATAAAGAATATGTAAACACAGCAAAATATTTTGCTATATACTCTGAAAGACTGGACAAACTCTGAGCTACTGGATGAGAGTATGAAGGACTGATAGGAGATAGTGATGGGTCAATCTAAAACAATTCTAAACGAATCTTTTTTATGACTCGAGAATGATGAGTCCTCTAAGGGAATGAATCGTTCATTTGCGCATGCGGACATTTGTGCAGGTGAAGTAGATACGTTCCTTTTTCGAGTCTTCTATTGAGTTTGAGTGGTTCATTCATCACGGAAAAACCAGAAGCCAATCTTATGCATCTAGAGCCGGAATAAGATTTGATTCGTTCATCTCTTGGAACTCCTTGGGTTTCAGTCATCTCTCTTTACATGCTGTCACGTGATAAACAAACGACTCAAAAACCCAAAGACTCAAAAGGTGAACTAATCATGGCTTCTTTTGGCTCAGACTGTGTGCATTGATTAAGCTTATATGGGACTGTCAGTGTGATGTGAAGGAACAACTCAAATTTGAAGACCTGTCAGAAGAGGTGAGCTGACATAATCACAGACAAAAGACCAGGCAAACAATATTTTCTCTTTTTTATTGCATTCTAGTTATGACTTGTCTGTAGTGTGATCAACGTTTGGTGTAGATGAGTTTGAAAGCAATACGTAACATTTTATTAATACAGACTCAGAGTCAGTGAAATGATTTGAACTTCCCATCACTAATAGAAGACAGTTGTTCTTATGGAGTTTGATACAGCATGCTAAATGAGAACAGTTTTTTTCTGGACGGCATAAATGGTGATGATGATGAAGGATGGGTGAATCTCTAGAAGTTCACCATGTATGCACACACAATTGGAGGAAAAGTGTGTGTCTGTGGTGCTTTACTGATACGGTAGGTGCAGAGAATAGCATCAAACAGCTGCGTATGTATGGCTTATCCTGTCAAAGTGTGGCTACAAGTCCTACACAATGGTAACAGTTAGATTATGGCGTTTACATCTCTGTACTGCACTTCAATAATGCGACTAAAATAGGACTATTTGACATCTCAATTCGATTTGTGTTTACGACGATTATGACTGTGCTATTCCATCGCATTTTGGAGTGTTTCAAATCCAATCCTGCCCCCAATCTTCAGTGCTAAATCCACCCTCACGCTCCATCACAACTCACAAGACAACTTTTCACCTCGATGAGAAATCTCGTTGCGATTTAGGGCGTCCTCTCACTAGGTACAGTTGTCTTGAACCGTGCCGAAGCACACTTGTCACACCCTTCTCCCCTGATGGCCTGCACTCACATTGCATCAGAGCCTAAGCACGGTTATGTCATCGATGATGCTCTGTTCAGTTTAACAGAAGAGAAGGTCTTTTTTTAGCTATATTGTTTTAGTGGTTTGGGATGCAGTGACACAGTCAAATATTTCACCAAACAGATCAGCCATTTTTGACGCTCATAAATAATCATACAAGTCCTCGGTCTGCAGGTTGTTAGGAGGTTTGCTGAAGTTGCAACTGTCGTGCAGTGAGGGGTTTGCGTCTTTAATAATCTATGACAGTTTGATTTCATTGAACAGTAAGAATGATTAATAAATCCATATAAAACAGTCCCTTAAAAGTCACATCTCGTCTTTAGTTTCGGGCTCAGGTGTGCTTTGCATTCACACTACAAGTGAACTGTGCTCTGGCACACCTCTTCCAACCAGACCATAGTCGTAGCCAGAGATCTCGTCACACCCCTATAACATACACATAGTTGAGTATTTGTTTTGAATGGGATTGACGTGTGACTATTTGTTCAGGATACTTCACACAAACTGCTAGTTTCACTTAAAATAATTTTGTTTATAAAAAATCATGGTTCCAGTTTTCTCAAAATGCAAGTCTTTAAAACTAAATAAAAATATTTTACATACTTGAAGTTATGTATAGAGAAATAACAGTTACTGAAAGAATAATTGTTCATCCAGGCTTTAATTTTAAAACAAGTAAAAGGAAACTTTTTTTAAACCTGAAGAAACGAAGAACAATTATTCTTTACAAGTAAAGTTTTAATTACTATAATTACTACCCAGATCTTCAAGTTAAACCAAATATTTTTAATTTAGTTTTGAAGACTTGAAGTTTGAGTTTTTCCTCAGCTAACAGTAAAATGATGGTCAAGTGATTTGAAGTTAGGATTTGAAGTCCTCCGTTATACAGTTAATTGAAATTTTATAACTACATTTTTTGTAACACATATGGACACTTAAAAGTAAAGCTGATTTCAGGATTGCGACGCAGTGGCGCAGTGGGTAGCACATTCGCCTCACAGCAAGAAGGTTGCTGGTTCGATCCTCGGCTCAGTTGGCGTTTCTGTGTGGAGTTTGCATGTTCTCCCTGCATTCGCGTGGGTTTCCTCCGGGTACTCCGGTTTCCCCCACAGTCCAAAGACATGCAGTGCAGGTGAATTGGTTAGGCTAAATTGTCCGTAGTCTATGAGTGTGTGTGTATGTATGTGTGGATGTTTCCCAGAGCTGGCGGGTTATTCCACTGTGGCGACCCCAGATAAATAAAGGGAATAAGCCGACAAGAAAATGAATGAATGAATGAATGATTTCAGGATTATTACTGTTACCTGTGAAGTCCTTTACTCCTCTGGCTACAAGATGACGTTTATCCTCCTCTTTCACTTGAATGTGCACTTCCTGTTCCTCCTCTTTAGGGATCAGTTTGATCTTGAGTGAGTCCCTCTTCACGTCTCGGCCTTCCTCCTCTTCCTTTATCCTTGGTCTTTTTTCTGTAACATGCTGCCTGTTATCTCTGCATACACAATCAGAGGGGAAGATTTCAACAGTTAACCAAGGCTAGTAAGGCTAAATTAGAGGTGTGCACTATGGTTGAATTTTGTTTAAAAAATATCAACACTATTAAATTTTACTCTGTCACATTGCTGGCTGTGAATAAAGCAAATCCATGAAAGTAAAAACAAACTTAAAACTTGCAGTTATAATTATTTGCATTAGGTGGCGCTGTGGAGCGTGTAGTGAAACAGGTTTTTACCATAATGCAAAGCAGTTTTTTTTTCTCCATTTGCTTTGTGCTAAAAGTTTTTTTGTTATGTACTTTTATTATTTGTACACATTTTAAACACAATTTTGCACAAGTTTAATATGAATATAGTGTAATAAGCATTGTACAGTTCGAAAATATGGTTAAAAACTTAAACTCGCTTAAACTTTCAGTTGGAATGATTCCTAAAAATGCCCAAATTATATGCTACAATAGGGCTGGGATGATAAACAATATAAAAATATATATATTTGAAAAAATTCTTTCGATAGCAATGATTAACTCTGTAAATATTTACTTGACATTGATCCGAAGAGCCAATCACGCAGCAGAAATACGCTACAACAGAAATCTATAATTGTTTTGACATTAGAGATTCATCAATATTTTGGTCGGAGAAAATTATCGCCAAAAACATTGCTGCGTTACCAAGTATTGTTTAACACGGTCGTTTAATTTTTTTGCCAGCAGTATCCACCATCAGTTATGGTTGGGATACTCTTTTAAAAGTGGAAGCATTACCAACTTATATCGAAATATATATCGTTATCGTTCAATATAGAAAACAATTATGGAAATTACATTTTTGCCATATTGCCCAGCCCTATGCTACAATTACAGCAGCTTTTGCCCAAAGCAGTGGCTCTCAAACTTTTTTTCATCAAGTACTACCTCAGAAAAAAAAAGTCTTTTCAAGTACCATCATAATGACCAGTATTGATTTACAGTAGCGTAGTAGACCTAAATCAATTACAGATTAATTCCTATTAATAATAATATTTATTATTATCAGCCACTTTAAACAAATAGTTTGATCATTTTAATAATTAGCTAGAAAAGTCAACATTTTAATTAAAATGTGCTTTTTAAAGTTAATTAAAAATAGTAGGCTATTGTTCTTAAAGTAAAAAACAAAACTGCTGTACTTAAATGCATTAACATACAGCCTATTTATCAAAACTTGGAAATGTTGCTTAAAGCTCATAAATATGGGCTATATGTCATATTCATATATATAAACCATTTTCTTTTATCAATTTTGAAGTTTAAGTTGCATGTACATATGACATATTTGTGCATTTTTGAAATTTAAACACAAACACAGGGTATTTTAAATAGATGTTTAAGATTAATATATTTAAATTTAAAATTATATCTGTTTACTGCACATCCTTTACAGTCTGTGTATCAGAAAAGTGAGTGATAGCATGCATAAATACAGTGTTTGAGCAATTCATATGCGATTTATCCCTTCATACGCGTTGCATTTCCGTGATTTGAGATCACATCTTAGTGAACCGTGGAGTTTGCCTTAACCGCACACGGAGACTAACTTCAATTATTTTCTAGCCCCAAGCTTCAAACATGGCAAAGTTGCTTGAGTCTATGTTTTGTGTCCTGTGCCATTTAAATCACATCCATATTAATTAGCCTAAATTTGAGGTAAAAAACAAAATCTAAAGCCATGCTACTTTATATATAAAAAAAAAACATGCATTATTTTACACACATTTATTTTTTACACACGAGTTTGCAGTAACTGAAATGCCAACAGAACAACACTGATCTGCACAGGGTTAAAAGTGTGTTCATTTTTTTCTTTTATTATTCAGCGATTCCTCTACATACCACTAGAAGGAAGCCAGTGTACCACTAGTGGTACGTGTACCACAGTTTGAGAGCCACTGGCCTAATGATGTTCGTCACAAATTAACAGGGTTTACCTCACTATTTGTCCATTACACAGAACCAGACGCAGGTCATTTTCCAAACTGCGTTCTGCTGCTGCGGCTGAAGCTGTCGAAACCTTATTGAATTTGCCATTGACTTTCAGGTTAAAGGAGGCATCCTGAAAAACAATCATTAGGAATGATTAATTCATCCAGATGAACCTTCATAACATTTATAGTTGTCAAAAATCCCTCTTGCCTCCTCATAGGGACCCATTTCCAGTCTTTTCAAGACCTCCTGCGTGTGCTGCTCATAGATATCCAGGTGTGAGGGAGCTTTAGGGCCGTCTGAGTGTTGGTGATTATGATGATGATGATGGTGATGATGGTGGTGGTGGCGATGATGATGATGGTGGTGGCCACGAAGGCGTCTGGCGGTCTTGCGTGCATGAGACCCTCGCTCGTGTGCAGACCTTGTGGAAGGACAAATGGAGCTTTCTTGAAGTTTCATTGGCTTGTTTCCACAGTTCCCGTTCTGGTACTCCTTAGGAGTGAGAAACAGCATTGAGAGTTTAAATACAAAAACTTTTATCTGTTTTTTTTTTTTAATCGTTAGTAAATGTTGACAATAATAAATAATAATAATAAAAAAGTTGAGTTGACAGCATATTGAGATTTAACTCGAGAAAAAAAGAAAAGTTTTCTTGAGTTTGTTAAATTTGCTAAAATGTAATGGTTACTTTAGTTTACTTGAGCGCCGCAGCTCTGCACAGTTTGGCTCCAACCCTAACCAAACACAGCTGATCCAAATAATAGAGGTGTTTAAAAGAGTCATGAACACCTTCATCAGTTGGAATAAGCTGTGTTTAATCAAGCTTGGAGCAAAACTGTGCAGAGCTGCGGCGCTCCAGGAACTGAGTTTGACACCTATGCGTTACTTTTTATTAGCTACTTTTAATAGTAACTTTTAAAAGTAAACAGCAACAATGTTTTAACTAGTTTTGGTATTGCTTGTTTTAGTTTACATTTTTAGTTTATTTTATTATTTTTGTTCAAAAGGTTGTTTATGTTTAGTAGACAAGTCTATTATTGAATTTTTCAAAAACTGTTATAGCATTCATAACAAACTGAAGATCTTAACACAGCAACTCAAACAAGAACAAAGTACATGAAAAAAAGTAGATCGTACAAAGTAAAAAAAAATTTTTAATAAATAAACGGGGCGAATGGGGGTTAGGAGCTTACACTCCTTGACAAAAGTCTTGCTGTTGATCCCAGTAAGTGCAACACATAATAACTTGTAGTGACCTCTAGTTGATCATTTGGAAAAGTGACAGAACATATATTTTTCCTATGAATCATCTGTTGAACTGCATCCCAATCATCACAAATACTGCAGAAGACCTACTGGAACCAGCATGGACCCAAGATTTTCACCGAAAACAAAAGTTTGGTGAAAGAAAAATCCTGGCTTGGGGTTACACTCAGTATGTGGGGTGTGCGAGAGATCTGCAGAGTGGATGGCAACATCAACAGCCTGAGGTATCAAAGCATTTGTGCTGCCCACTACATTACAAACCACAAGAGAGGGTAAACTCTTTAGCAGGATAGCGCTTCTTCTCAAACTTCAGCCTTCACATCAAAGTTCCAGAAAGCAAAGAAGGTCAAGGTGCTCCAGGATTGGCCAGCCCAGTCACCAGACATGAACATTATTGAGCATGTCAATAATGTAAGATGGAGGCATTGAAGATGAATCCAGAAAATCTTGATGAACTCTGGGAGTCCTGCAAGAACGCTTTCTTTGCCATTTCAGATGACTTTGTTAAAGAAGTTATTTGAGTCATTGTAGAGATGTATGGATGCAGTCCTCAAAGCTCATGGGAGTCATACACAATATTAATTCTTTTTCCATTGCACCATGGCTTTATATTCTATACTGTACATTATTTCTGTTAAGTGGCAAGACTTTTGTCTCAGTAAAGTCAGGCCTTACTGTCCTAATAAATAGTTAAAAATCAAGTCATAATCATAGTTTATTTAGGTGAAATAATCGTAATCCAGAGGCTTTTGCCTTTCATATAAGCCACTTATGATACCAAATGATCAACTAGAAGTCAAATTATTATTTTTTGTTCCAAAACTTGGATAGGTGACAAGACAATTATCTACAAATGTCAGGTAGTGTACAATTCAAGTATTTGGAATAAATCTGTCCTCAAAATATGACAGGAATTGTCTCCAAACTTTGAAGAATCTATTATTTGAGCCTTGGGTACAATATTTGAGTTTTTCTAACTTTAGATAAGCCATGACACTTAAAGATGGACACGTCTAGAACATATTCCCAAGGTGGCCTCATCTCTGTGTCACCTAGAACATGTTGGATCAATTTCTGGGAATATTCTTGACCATTTGCAGCCTATGAATTATCTTAAATTGTAATAGACCGTGTTAGACGCAGATCAATATTGAGTGAATTTGCTTAACTGCTGATTGTCAGACTGCCTCCGGGAATAATTTCCTAAGTCATCTTCACACTGTTTCTTTAAAAAAAAATCTAAAGACAGTGCGGCGGCTCTTTGAATCAGACTGTGGCTGTTCATGTTTAAATTGGATTGTTTTTTTTAAACCAACAACAAATACAACAACAACACTGAATTAATGTGCTCTTTTTGCCGTTTTATTTAAATAAAGAAATTTAAACCAAACTAATTGAAATTAAATAATTTCCAACACTACAAACTTATTTAGGCAAGAAATACTGGTTAATTTATTATTATTATTATTATTATTATTATTATTATTATTGTCTTAAAGATTAACAAGAGCAAAATTAACCAAAATGCAAAAACATGGAAAATATTATAAACATACTAAGCATTGTTAATTAATTCATACATTGATGTTCACTAATTGAATTACTGTAAAGTATTAATTATAATATTGAGAATTTAATAATCTTCTACAAATAATAAACAAACATATAAAAGAAATAATTCATAACAATAGCCTTCTGATTAGAATTTTTGCAAAACCCTTATTTAAAAAATGTGAATAACCTAGAACTCTCCACCTGTGAGTGCATTATTCAAATGTGTCTGTCCAAATATAAGCAGGTTTCATTAGGCAGGTCTTACCTCAAGGTACTGGATTTCCTTGGTGAGCATTTTAATGAGATGGTTGGGTCTGATATGGTCTGGGACCTCGCTGGCTGGCTCGGTGACCTGAGGAAGATCAGCACACATGCCGGACAATAAGGGGATTGTGCCACACAGCAAACCTCAGGTTCCCACCCAGAACCACGGACACCAGATATCCAGCCCTCTGGGACATTCATCCAGCACAGATTACAATGTTCAATGCATGACTGCAGGTGGCTTTAAAAGTAGGGATGTCAGTTTCTACAAATGCCCTGGATAGATCACTGTTTGAATGAACAAAACATCAATTACTTGCTTAATTGTTAACCTTAATATTAGCAATTTTTTATACTGTAAAGAAAAGGCTTATTGGTTTACAAAAAGAACTTATGACTGACAATTTAATATAACCATTTGATGAATAAATGTAGCGATTAATATGCAATGTGCCAATAACAACACCTTAGATGTACACACTAGCTAAAAAACAATTTTTTTTTTTCCCAAAATGTACTGACATTGGATATTGTGCTTATCAAGGAAAATGCAGAGAAATGATGTATGTCTACTTCTGAGTGTCCATGATGTGTTAAGGTGAGAAACTGCAGGCAAAGATGTTTTTTTTTTTTCCCCAAAGATTTTGGGCTTTTTGGGTTATGAACCATCTAATGTAAAAATAAATAAATAAACAAAATAAAATAAAAAAAAGTCAAAGAGGTGAAGCTAAAATACACAATTATGTGTTTTTTTTTTGGACAAAAGTGTTTCAATACACATTTCTTAAAGGCTGTTTTCTAAAAATGATTTTTTTTTCCTGTACTCTGCCAAAAATCGTATACAAGTGAAAATCTTTCCTGAAGATTTTTACAAAAGGTAAAATTAACATAGAATAATTACGTGAATTTACACATTTTATTCAGGCTGTCATTTTCTTAATTATAAAATAGAAATAGAATCCCATTTTATACCTTATCTATAAAATCCCCATCACAAACCTTTGACTTAAAATGTCAAATGAATTTTGAATTAGAGTGATCCAAATGTTTAGATTTCCATTATAGAAATGTATGCAAACTATACATATTTAATTTTCACATATTTATTTAATTAATACCTCACTTGCACATTAACATAACATTCTAGAAAACATTATTATTAAACAGTATAACGTAATTAATAAATATAACATGATTTTTACATTTAATTTAACATTTTTGTTAAAACACCACCACTACGCCACGACAACTATAACTACAACTACTACGACTAATAATACTACTATGACAACTTCAACTAAGACTACTACTATAACTACTAATACTACTTCTTTATTTATTTATTTATTTTTTGTAGTTTATTTAATTAATTTTTTTTACTACTTTTTACTACTACTACTAATACTACTCCGACGACGACTACTATGACTACTTCAATGACTACTACGACAGTGATGACTACTTCAATGGCGACTACAACGAACTACTACTACTACGAATACTACAAAAATGACTTCGACCATGACTACTACAAGAAAAGCATCCGCTGCGTAAAAACGTGCTGGATAAGTTGGCGGTTCATTCCGATGTGGCGACCCCAGATTAATAAAGGGACTAAGCCGAAAAGAAAATGAATGACTACTACAACAGCTACTAATCTATGACTACAACTACTTTGACTACTTCAACTACTACTAATGCTGCTACCACAGCTATGACTACTTAGATGGTGACTGATGATGACTACTACTAATACTGACTGCAATGACTACTTCGATAGCAACTATGACGACAACTACTTCTATTACGACGACGACTACTACAACGATTACTTCAACTATGACTACTACGACGACAACTACTAATCTACGACTACTTTGACTACTACTCCTACTACAAGGGCGACGACTATGACTACTACTACTACTTCGAAGGAGACTACGATGACTACTACTTCTACAACAACTATGACGACTACTTCAACTATGACTAATATTACTATGACAGCAATGATTACTTCAACGAATACTACTACTACTAGAAATAAATAAAAAAATACAATAATATTAATAATAATAAAAACAACTAAATATATTATTATTATTAATTGTCAATAACCCATTTTAAAAAACTTAATACATTTTTTAAAACAATTTATAAAGTAATCTATGTACTTTAGTAATCAATGTGTAAGGAATTAGTAATATTAGTTTTTTTTACCCTATTCACCTGCACTGAACTGGAAATCAACCATTGATGAGGCGTATAGACAATTAATCATCTGCATTTCTAGTTTGAAGTTGATTTCATGTCTAAATACAACTAAAATGTGTGAGTTTAAGGTTATGCGAAGATCCGTTTCCATCACCTCTCTTTTTAGCCAGTTCCTCAGTGCAGTTATCAACGCTTTGACTCCCTTGATAAGGTATTCTGGAGGCAGGCAGTTTTCCTCTCGAGATTCTGGCCACAGACAATAAACAGTCGATTAGAGAGACAGCGGGAGTGTGGTGGCAGCACGCCAGAGCTTTAAGTGCCTAGAATTGACATGCTGAGTGATTCGATGATGCACCTTTAAGAGTCTCCAGCAGATTCTTCGCCACGTACCAGCAGATGGCCTCGAAATAAGGGAACTTAAAGAGGTCTGGAGTTTTCAGACGCCGCTCCATCTCATAACACCTGAAGTGAGGACAAAATCAGTTTCACTTCAGACAAATGACATACACGTTAGTGCTGCAAGTATTGTATTTTTATATTTTTGTATTATTTTTGCTCTTTTTTACTAAAACAATAGTAAACGCATGGTTGCTCTTTTTTCATTGTAGAAGAAATTATGTTATATGCGAAAAAAAGACATTTATTATGACTATTATATCATATAATCAGTAGGACCACACGGATTCTGCACACACAGAAATCTGCAGATTTTGGCAGATCATTAGCCCATCACTGAGTCTACATTACCTGACAAAAGTCTTGTCGCCTATCCAAGTTTCAGGAACAATAAATAATACCTTTACTTCTTGTTAATCATTTGGTATCAAAAGTAACTTCTATAAAAGGCAAAGGCCTCTAGATTACGCTTATTTTAACAAAATAAACTATGATCATGTTTTGATTTTTACCTATTTAATTAGGACAGCAATGCCTGACTTTGCTTAGACAAAAGTCTCGTCACTAAACAGAAATAATGTACAGTATAGAATATAAAGTCATGGTGCAGTGGAAAAATAATTATTATTGACGTTATTATGTTACGTTATTAATAATTATTATGTGTATGACTCCCATGAGCTTGGACGACTGCATCCATACATCTCTGCAATGACTCAAATAACTTATCAATAAAGTCATTTGGAATGACAAAGAAAGCGTTCTTGCAGGACTCCCAGAGTTCATCAAGATTCTTTGGATTCATCTTCATTGCCTCCTCCATCTTACATTATTGACATGCTCAATAATGTTCATGTCTGGTGACTGGGCTGGCCAATCCTGAAGCACCTTGACTTCTTTGCTTTCAGGAACAGGGTCCATGCGGGTTCCAAAAGAACTTCTGCAGTATTTGTGATGATTGGGATGCAGTTCAATCTATGATTCATCAGAAAAATCTACCTTCTGCCACTTTTCCAAATGATCAACTAGAAGTCAAGTTATTATGACGACAAGACTTTTGTCAGGTAGTGTATTTATTCATCCATTTGTAAATTCATTTCGGTAATATTTGTCGTTTAGAATATATATAAGATACTTGCTTGGATTAGCAAATAAGTGGATCTAATTAGACTTGCATTGTAAACATTAAATAAAAGTTTTTCAGAAAATTCTGCTTAGACATATGAGAAAATGTCTTCAGATACTGTCTGGCTGTAATAATCCATAATAACAATGTCATTAACAACAAATCAAATATAACATGATTTTTTTATTTTAATTTAGCACTTTTGTCAAAAATACTATTACTAATAGAAATTATATATTATATATTATATTTATTTATATATAAAAAAAACAAATGGCAAATATATTATTATTATTCTCAAATACACATTTTACAATCAAGTTGTCTAGAACAAAAATGACTAACTTAAATAATTTATATATACAGAACACAAGTAAACATTTTTTTTTTCCTTCACATAAATTTGGTTTGTTTGCTTATAAACAGAATTTTATATAAGAAAAAAACTGGATATCTCAAGTATATTTTGCCAACGTTCTTCTGAAGAGAAAAGAAAACATATGTGCTAAAAGGTCAATCTTTATGAGGCACTGTAAAACTTCACAGGCACTCCAGTTCAGATTTCAAAAGAAGAATATCTTTAAAGAGTGAAAGTTTTGGCTCACCTGAGCTGCATGCCAATGTTGAGGTTGTGGAGGAAGTTTCCTCCGAAAGCCATGCAATCCTGAGAGGTGAGAACTGCATGGATCCATCCTGTAAAGGAGGTCAAGAGTGTGTCAACAGCTGACCGACAGATGCAGACCAAAAAAAAAAAAAAAACATCTGCTGTAGTCCAGAGCCAGTCATTCATATCCGGTGTACAGCAAAGCTGGACTGAGAGTCATATCACAAAAAGTTTTTGAAAGCCCATTGAAATGTTACAGATCTTCCCATTTTTACTATACAATAATAATCGGTGAAACATGAAAATTGAAAGGGCCCAATTGACTGCTGAGGTGGCAGTTTTGAACTCATTACTTTAGTAGTAGTTATAGTAGCAGTACATGCAGTTTGACCACATTGAGTCTTTAGAGATTTAGACATTACCTTGTTTTAGTATCTGTAAAAACAAGTTTGACCATGTTGAGACGTCAATTTTGAACCTGCTCCTACTCGTAGTGACATGGTTTAGATGTGTTGAAGTATCAACTTTGAACATGCTCTAGACAGTTTGACCATGTGGACCTCAGTTTTGAAAATAATCCGCTTGTTAAGTGGTGACGTGTTTGTGACGTATGTAATACTGTTTCCGGGTGCAAGCCGCCATTCATTTGAGAGGAGAAATCATTCGTTTATGATCACGTTTTATTCCTATCACACATTAAAGTTAATTATACATAAAGGCATAGTGTACACAACAATCTCTGGGCTTGCTGTATAATAAATACCAAAAATTTTACAATTTATAAAAAATTAATCACTTTCTGGCCATCGGATATTAGGCATGGACATATATACTGCCATCGTGATTTTTGAAAGCATTAAATCACTTTGTAAACGTTTATTATTACCATTTCATGAGTCTCCCCATTCAGTTGAATAGAACGCTTGGACCCGGAAGCCGCTTCGCGTGACGTCACACTTAACAAGCGGATTTAGTATTGAATTAGTGCAGTTTGACCATGTTAAGGCAGCAATTTTGAAAGTTCCTGTAGTACACACAGTTTTATCTGCTTTTTAATCTTCAGTAAATGTAGACAATTAAAAAAAAAGCTTGACAGCATTTTGAGACTTATTATAGGAAAACCATGCGTTTGAGTGTCCTATATTTGCTTTAATGTAATATTTACTTTTTGGGGTGGCAAGGTGGCTCAGTGGTTAGCACTGTCACCTCACAGCAAGAAGTTTGTTGATTCGAGTCACGGCTGTGCCAGTTGCCATTTCTGTATGGAGTTTGCATGTTATCCCTGTGCTCATGTGAGTTTCCTCCAGATGCTTCAGTTTTCCCCATAGTCCAAAGACATTCGCTATAGGTGAATTGAATAAACTAAATTGTCCATAGTGTATGAGAGCCAGTGTGTATACGAGGGTGTTTAATGGGTTTCAGTTGGAAGGGTATCTGCTGCGTAAAACATATGCTGGAATTGTTGGCAGTTCATTCCGCTGTTGCGACCCCTGATAAATAAAGGGACTGAGCCAAAGAAAAATTAATAAATAATATTTACTTTAGTTACTTTTACTAGTAACTTTTATTAGTAAATAGCAACAATACTTTTTCACATTTATTTTACTATTGATTTAGTGTCAGTTTTTTGTTATTTTGCACATGTATGAAAGATGCACAACAGATTGATTTTAACCCATTCTTCCCACCAACATTTAAAGCCTCATGAATACACAAGGTAAGCAAATCTGGGAGTGCACACCAACGCACAAAACATCAGCCATGAATGCATCATTTAAAAGCAAAAGGCTTGAGGGTGGTGACTTCTGTGCAAAAAGCCAGTGTCAGAAGCATAACTTTGCAAATGATAGTGTAACAGAGTCCAGCTAACAAAGTGCTATGCAGGTAAACCTCACTCTTCTGACCTAAAAAGGTGCTCTAGTGACAGACGCTAGAGGCCATGGTCTTTAGCTTCCTTGTAAGAGCAACCAACTCCCATATAAGGAACGACTAGTTCGATCCCAGCTCAGACCAGGTTGGGTGCAGCACAACTGGTGGGTTACACATTAGGGCTGGTCTGGGATGGGAGTGAGTGTATTGGAGGCCAGATAGAGAAGTGCTATGCAGATAAACCTCTCTCTTCTGACCTCAAAAAGTGCTTTAGCGACAACCGCTAGAGGCCATGGTCTTTAGCCTCATTGATAGAGCAACCGACTCTCATACAAAGAATCGCTGGTTTGATCCCAGCTCAGACTGGGTTGGGTGCAGTAGAACCGGTGGGTTACAATAAGCACAAATGAAAATGGTCCTGGTGTGCACAAGTCTTTAATATGTTGTATTCGAATGCATATCCTTAGTACTTGTTGGTTCACAGTTCGATTATGTTCAAGTAACCACTAAAGGGGGGTTAATAATATTGGCCTGTTTTCTAAATATTTTTTTCCCAGCCAAACTACAAGAAATAAGACTTTCTCCTAAAGGAATATACAAGAGGAAATGTTGTGAAAAAGTTCCTCACAGTTAAACTTAACTTGGGAAATATTAAAAAAAAAAGTAATTTCACAGAATGGCTAATACTTTGGTCTTTAACTGCATGTATACAATTTAGTTTTAGACATCAAAGTTATTACTAATGCCAATACATGTATACTGTGACAACTTAATATACTAACTACAAAATAAAACATTAATTATTTTTAAATATAACAAACAGTTTAAATGCTACACGATGTCTACCGAAAGTTGACATGTTTTCAGGGTGGGCCATCAACTGCAGCGATTACATGGCTAACTGAGATCTGCTGAGCTGAACCAAACCCCTAGAGTGTTAGAAAACCACCAAACAACCAGTCTGTTAACTACATCCACGACTTCCTGTCTATGCTCGAACATATAGGCCACATGCGAAGCGGGTGGGGGTGCATAAATATACATCACATTCAGAAGCAAAGCCTCAACAATGAGCAACTTTCATGGTGTTTTGAAGGACTTTTGAAGTCGGTCTCACAGCAGGGGGACGTGAAGAATCCCACGGTCTTGAAGTGTTCTGCTAGTGCCATCAACAGCTGGGAACCAGATTGATCTATAACCACGTATTCGGACCTGCTCGTTTTGAGTGTGAGGTTTTCATAAAACGTTCAGCCACCCATGTTATATGACTTCACATTGGATACGAAGTCATAATTACGATATACGACTCAATGTTTTGGAGCTTCACTAACGAACCATAGGCTGGATAAGATGTTAGGTTCAAGAAGATTCATGTGGCTTTCTGGGCGGTAAGCCTTAGGTCTGAACCTGAAACGAGGAACACAAATCAGCCCCGGCTTTCCTGTGGAACCGCTATTAAAGACAGCTGCTCTGCTGTAAGTGGAATACCAGTTCTTCTTGCTCTGACATCCGTGTGTTCGTAAAAAAGCCTTTAGACAAACATAACGTTTCCTTTTTCTCCATCAAGGTGAAGTGTGTGGCTTTTGAATAATCAGGGAGGGAAATAATGACGCTCCACCCCGTCACCCCCCAAAATCTCACTCCAGTGGTTGGGTCAATTGCTCCATCAGGCTGGCTTTAAGTCTTCTTTCCCTATTGTGACATATATCTAAGCGAAATAGCTCCTCAAATGGGAAACTTTATTTTGTCCAGCAGGAACTTGATGAACTTGAACTTGAACTGATTTGTAAGAATTGTGATTTGTTATTAATGGATCCCATGTAAGCAACTGGTGAATTTCCAGTCCTTGGGGCAAAAATGTATGTTTATGGAGTTGTTTTTTTTAGTAATGATGTGTTATTTAGATTTGAGATTAGAAGGAAACACCAATTTTAAAAAATAAAGATGTGCACAGATAAATAATGTATAATTTAGGTAAGGCAAGTTTATTTATATAGTACATTTCATACACAATGATAATTCAAAGTGCTTTACATAAACAAGAACAAAAGAAAAAAACATGATTAAAATGATTAAAAACAGATTAAAATGTGTTAAAAGAATCTAAAAGAAAAGAAAGACATAATAGTGTGATCTGTGGGGCGTAGCACAGTGCTCATTCGGTAAAGGCACAACTAAACATATGTGTTTAAGTCTTGATTTGAATGTGCCTAATGTTGGAGCACATCTGATTATTTCTGGAAGCCGATTCCAGCAGTGGGGGCGCAGTAGCGGAAACCCTGCCTTGACTGACTTCTGTGAATTTCAAGTTTACTTGATTCTAATGAACTGAGATATCGGTTTGTATTCAGTGAGCATATCTGAAATGTATTGAGGTTCTAGGCCATTAAGTGATTTATAGATAAATAGTAATATTTCAAAATCTATTCTGAATGAAACTGGGAGCCAGTGCAAAGACCTGAGGACAGGTGTGATGTGCTCGGATTTTTGAAGTTCATTCCAAAAATAAAAATAAAATTTCATGATGACTTTAACTAAGGGCGTACTCACATTATAGTTGCCTTGAACTGGGCCAAAGCTTGCTTGGCCCCCCTCCCGCATCCCCCGACGGCCCGTACTCGCATTACAATCGGGCCTGTGCACGCTTGCGTCATTGATGATGCACTGTTCAATAAGCGCTTTCGCTCAGCACAGTGGAGATTTCTTCAGTTATATTGTTTAAGTAATTTGGGATGCAGTGACATGCAGTCAAATATTTCGATGAACAGATCAGCCACTTTTGACGCTCATAAACAGTCATAAAGTTCTCGTGCTGCAGGAATTAGGAGGTTTGCTGAAGGTGCAGCTATTGTGCAGTGAGGGGTTAGCTTCTTTAATAAACTATGACAGTTTGTGTTCATTGATCAGTAAGAATGATTAATAAATCCATAAGAAACAGTCCCTTAAAAGTCACATCTCACTTTCAGTTTCTGGCTCTGGCAACTTAAAAAACTTAACATAACTTAAAAACTTAAAAAAATAGATAAAAACAACTTCCTATAATTTTTTTCTTCTAACCCTACTGGTTTTATTTTGGCTAGAATAAAAGCTGTTTTTTCGATAGTCCACAGAACAAACTACTGTTGTACAATGATTTACCTAATTACGCCAACTTGACTATATAACCCAATTAACTTAGTTAAGTCTTTAAATATCACTTTAAGTTGAATACTAGTCTCTTGAAAAATATCTAGCAAAATATTTTGTACTGTCATCATGGCAAAGACAAAAGAAATCAGTTATTAGAAATTAGTTATTAAAATTATTTTGTTTAGAACTGAGTTGAAAAAATCTCTCTGTTAAACACAAATTGGGGGGAAAAGTCTAAAGGAGGGCTAATATTAATTCTGAATTCATCCCTGTGTGTGTGTGTGTGTGTGTGTGTGTGTGTGTGTGTGTGTGTGTGTGTGTGTGTGTGTGTGTGTGTGTGTGTGTGTATTAATTTGAAATTAAAAATGGTAACACTTTATATTGTTGGTCCATTTGAGTATTAGTAGACTGTCTGCTTAATTTATATTTATTTATTTGACATGGACATCACAATTACACTGGACAACCAAATGCATTTGTTTAAGTGTTTTAGCAGACTTGCTAATTCTCAACACCTGTCCACGGGAGGCTTGTCAAAATGAAAATAAAATGGATACATATACACAACATTATAATTCTTTACCTAAAATTGCTGGTAGGCAAAATCAAAGGTGGCATGACGAAACAAACTGATTGTAGACTATTTGTGTAAACACTGCTGTTTTGTTTTAACCACTTTTTAAGAACACTACTAAAAATATTTATATTGCTTTATAATTTTAGGCTAACAGGTAAAAAAAAAAAATTACACAATTTGGTTCCCTTAACAGAAAAAACAGAGTGGCCAAAAGAGGTCTTACACTTTAACACTAGACAGTCACCTCTAGCAGATGCTTCTGTGACTCTGTGCGAGGTTTGATGCCTACTGATTAGATCTAAAAACAGCATTAGAACATGATTACATAAACATTTAAAAAACTGTTTAAGATAATTATAAAAAAACCATCAACACTAAAAAGTTATGCTTGAATAAAACTTTTAGCTTTTAAAAATTTTAGCTGCTTGTTGATAGTTAGATAGATAGATAGATAGATAGATAGATAGATAGATAGATAGATAGATAGATAGATAGATAGATAGATAGATAGATAGATAGATAGATAGATAGATAGATAGATAGATAGATAGATAGATAGAGAGACAGTCAATAGGCTTCAATGTAGTTAAAGAAGCTTGTGACCATGATGTAATGCAATATGACAAGTGAGAGAATATCATTGTGTCATCATTGTAAATAAATAACTAAAAAGTAGATGCAATGCAACTTAAATTCAACAAATAGACCATCAAAATAAAGCGTGGCCTAAAAAAGAAATAAAACAATATTAAAAGCAAACAAAAGAAATCAGAGCTAACCTGTTGGAATCAGAAGTGTTGTTCCCTGCCGCACGACACATTTGTAGCACTTGTCCACTTTCTCCCCGAAGAACACCTCACTCTGGTTCGGGGATGAGCTCCACTCCTCGTATAGTGCAAGATTAGCTGGGGTCGGCTTTATTAAATAAAAAATCTTCTCCCCCTATAGGTACAATTGAAAACATGTTTATTTTTTCCTCATTCTTGTTGATGGCAAATGACTAAGAATATTTTAAGTGAAATAAACAGCAGCGAATAAACTATTGCTTCAAATGTTTGGGGTCAGTTTTGTTATTTTGTCACATTTAAGAAATCATTACAATCATAAATCTTTTATAAATAGTGATATGCTTTAAAATGTCCTTTATTCCTGTGATGAAAGGCAACCTTTGTAGCATCAACACTCCATACAAGCTATTCGAAAAACATCTTCTATCATAATCAATGTCAAAAGCGGTGTTGCTTAATATTTCTGTGGAAACCCATATTTTCAAGATTCTCTAATAAACTGGACCAGAGCTTACCCACAATACATGGTACCACACAGACGTGCCCCCGAAATCAATATGGAAGTCTGTATAGCTGTCCTTGACGCCCATTAAACAATACTTCTGCACAAAGGGCTTGGGAAAGTAAGAGTCATCAGGCCAGTAGTTCTCCACCCAAGACATTTTCTGGGCGATATCAGGGACGACCACCAACTCTGCCATCCTGAACGCAAAACATTAACAGTTAATAGTTAAGTTAACACCATTTATGCTCTCAGAAAAAAAAAAAAAAAAAAAAAACAGGACACTTTGAAATGATACTAACTTGGTGTCTGAAAACTCCAGACTGATGACGTTCAAGACTTTGGGCCGCTGAGGGCTGTAATAATACTTGACAAACGCTTTCAGTTTCATCTTGCTGTCCGCCTGCCTGGCCACATCAATGACATCGATTACTTTGTTACCTCCTATAAGCAAAGACAGCAAGATGAGTAATGAGAATGTGTGGAAATCAAAAGCACAAAGTCCCATAACAATTATTATTATCAAAACAAACTCAACAGGGATAAATCAACATCATTAAAAAGGCATCAAGCATATTTAAAACAAAATAAAGATTGCATCTGGCACAAGAAAAAGTTTCCTGGTTGTCCTCAAATAACACTAGAATGAAAGATGCAAGAAATCAGCTGATGTGTATTACTGTATGAGAGCCGACAGGCAGGCAGATCCTCAAAACCCACCAGGAATCTGCTGGGAAAAACCTCAAACACTAAGTAGGACAGATGGTGCTTGTGTACACAAACGGCACCCTGGTGTACCTAGCCAGAAACACACTCCTCTCACAAAAAACATCATAAAGTGATCCTTTACTGCTGTTCTGGGATCAGGAACTTCATCAGGACTGGCAGCATCGCCAATAAAAATGTCTATCGACTTTTTATGGATCTGCATTGGCAGCTACAACAAATATGGGTCTGATTTAAAAATCGAAAGATCTTAAGTATGTGTTTATATGTGCATAAAGCATAAATGCCATTATTACTCCAGCAACGGCAAACTTTTTAATAGTTCGGGAGACATAAAATGCCTTTTATGATCTCAAAAGCAGTGCAGGACAAAAGCAGCTTTCACAACAGCAGGTTGAGAGTTATGTTTGGCATTATAAGCAAATGGCAATGTGGAAAAAACCTCACAATGTTCGATTTTGCTGGCTGGGAAGCTGCACAGGCTTGCTGTCCATTGAAGTAACTGAATTAGCAGAGCAGCTAGCCGTTAGAAGCGCATTAAGGACAAAAGCAAGAGCTTTTAGAGCAATCCCCAGACATAACGTCACTGTTAACTAGAACATTCATCATGCAATGCAACTTTGGTCAGGAATGTTGGCAATCTACAGACTAATCCCAAACAGCAAAGCTCTCAAAAATAATGGTATTGTATTTTAGTTTGATCTTGCTTGATCAATGATTAATAATTACTACAACTAAATAATGACATGCATTTAGGTTTCTGTTTTAACGACAGCAACAACACACCTCAAAGAACTAGCACTGACAAAAACCAATGGGTTCTATGCACAGCTAGTGTTTTTTTAGCTTATAATAAACTTCTGGTGAAAGCTTAATGTCACTATTTTTTTAACTTTATAAGGTTCCTTTAATTTGCATGGATGTTCTAATGTAATTACAATACATTTAGTTAAATAGACTTAAGTGTTCATTTAGTTGTTTAAGCATAAAATAGGATGAAAGACCGCCAAGACCTAGAGTAACCGCCAGGGCCGTCAGGATCAGCAAGTGAGTTGGTAAAACTACATTAAAAATATTGGGGTAATATGACTGGTCATATTTTAAAGACATGGATTGAATTTTTTTAAATTCAGTTTTTAATTTCCAAAACTTAAAATATACAATTTTTACAATCATTTAGAAAAATAATTTTAACAGCCATTACCCCTTGTATATCCCCCATTCCTCCACCCCTTTATATGCACATCAGGAAACACAGGATAATTGTAGTTTAGACCTAGCAAGTAAATAAATTACATAAAATTTTATTTTCATATTATCATATGAGAGTTAAGTGTCTAAGATTTCCTTGATGTCACATATATAGATTTTTCACACAGTCAAAATGTCCAGTTTAGCATGGTTGATCCGTGCTAATGACTAGGTCCAGTATTTCCTTGTAACCAGAGAGATCATGAGGGCGTTCCACCTCTGTACCAACATTTACTTTGTAGCAGTTAAAGCAGCCAATTAAAATTTATAGACCTTTGCATTTAAGGGAAATTGAGAGTTATCATTCAACAATAACAATAAAGGATCTTTGGGGAAACAAACTTTTGTAACTTTCAATAAAATGTCCAGCACAGAATCATAAAGTTTTGGCACCTCCGGATGGGAAAATGGAATTTAATGCAGTGCTTCTTGTCCCGTCTGAGACCCACTTTATATTAAATATCTATCAAACAGTGCAGATTGGAAGAAATCGAATCGTGGCGATTTTAAAATGGAAAAACAGTTCACAGGAAGCGCTTAGGCTGGCTGGCTGAAATTAACAGTTTGTGTAAAAGTTGTTCTTCTAAAATAAACTGAAACGAGCAGTCACACTCATCTACAGAAATTCAACTAAATTAAGTAGGTAAAAACTTAAAACTTGACAAAAAAAAACTAGCATGACATGCTTAACATGAGCTGTTTGACAGCTGACTGAGCTTTGTGTATCATATTATAGATTTTACAGCTTTAAAGTGTAAAAAGGTAATTAAATTAACTCTAATCTCTAAGATCTCTAATAAATTCCCTGTCATGCATCTCAACAGCTCATTTTAACAACAAATTAGGGCTGCTCGATTATGGAAAAACTCATAATCACAATTATTTTGATCAATATTGTAATCATGATCATTTAAAACAATTATGAGAGGCCCATAAGACCAAAACATATGCTGCAAAAACCAGGTTACATGATTTGACTTATTTGCACGTGAAACTGGGTTTTGCTGAGGAACAGATGAGGACTGTTGGAAAGGGGGTGGGATATGATGCAATTATCATTTTTTTCTTGATTATTTTATTTTTTTTCATAACTGTTTGAGGCCAAATTCAAAATTTAATTACAAGTAGGCCAGGCTGGGACAATTGGTGAAGTTTGCAAGTTCTCCCCGTGTTGGCAGGGGGTTTTCCTCCAGGTGCTCTGCTTTCCACCACAGTTCAAAGACATACACTATAGGTGAATTGGGTACACAAAAATTGTGTGTAGTGTATGAGTGTTTGTATGGGTGTTTCCCAGTACTGGGTTGCAGCTGGAAGGGCATCCACCATGTAAAACATATGCTGAAACAGTTGGCGGTTCATTCTGCTGTGGCATCCCCTGATAAATAAGGGACTAAGGCGAAGGAAAATGAATGAATGAATGAATGCACAACCGTACAACAAGTGTACATTTTTGCATCAAAACGAGCAAGATAAAATAAAAATAATTAGCATTCTGTGCCAACATTAACAAAACTCTAATGTGTTTGCAGAAGTAATGAGGGATAAAATGGGTAGGCTGAAAAGTTTCAACCACATTTGTTGGGTCATGCACACATACACCACAAAACAATTGCCATTCTTCAGGACAAACTGGGGGTACATGAGGCTAACATCTGGAAATCAGTAAGGGAAAACACATGAGTGCTAGCTTAAAAAGCTACATATATTAGGAGTAGCCTGACAGGAGTCATGCAGTCACAAAAGCCCCTTTTACACCTGATATTAAAACAGGGTTACAACAGGTTTCATCAAGTCCAATTTTAAGACCATAATGACTTACAAGAGGCTAAAAGCTAATGATTTTTTAAATGGCCTAGTTAACAAATATTTTTGTAAAGAAGATAATTAAACCATAAACAGAGTTGGTAAATAGAGTAAATAAATAAGAGTTAATAATTAAACTTGTCAAAACTCTTATTGAGATGGAATGATAGTGATTGAATGGGTGTTGGCCCCATTGGGTAGCTTTTACATGGATCTAGGAAAATTAAGACCCATTTAAAACGATTTAAGATCCACAACACAAAATTTAAGTCAATTTAAGACTTTTTAGGGTCACAAATTTTGATTTTGAAATTTAAGACTTTAAAACCCTGTAGATACCCTGTAAAATAGGGTCTGAAACATTTTGTGCTTGTCCACATTCAACTAGGTACTTGGTACTATTCAACTCAATTGTTTTTATAGTGTAAACGAGCAGCCACAAAACAAGCCACCTCTCTGCCTACATAATTCAGAAATATATTAAGGGGTGAGGTGTTGAAACACATCAGCCAGATAGGATTTAAACTTTGCCGAACAAAGGTTTGTGATTTTTTTGTTTATTTTTTAATACACATTTTTGCCTTCAAAACCTATAGTGTAGTTTTGCGATCTCCCGATCACACCGAACAAGATTTTCCGTTCTAAAAATGCAAGGCGCACCACGCTGGCTTTTTTTATAGACAAGAAAAAAACAAACAAACTTTTTATATCGTTAGGCAATGACTGAATCAGCTGGGTATTGTGCGAGTGCGTTGCTGTTGATATTGGTATAATTTTAATATTTTTTATAATATTGTGAAATTTAGAATTTGTGAGCCATACAGCACCTGATAAAACAACCACAAGTTTCGCCTGCATCTTCATAAGTCTACGTAGATATCTTGACAACACAAACACTGCAGTCACCTCAACGGGAATCCTGCCTCTGCTTTCATTTGATTGGAGAATGAAAAGACGCAGCTGCTGTAACACACTTTTTCTACTCATTATTGACTTTTTTCATCTGCGAGCATACAGCGCACACCAGCAAAAACACGAGGTGCAGCAAGCCGTTAAAACATGAGGCACGCAGGGCGCATAAACAGCCTGGAAAACTCTCAAGACTATTAGTAAATTATTCAAAATAGGTGCCTCGCAACTAGGGCTGCTCGATTATGGGAAAAATCAAAATCACTATTATTTTGGTCAAAACTGTAGTCACGATTATTCAAAACGATTATCAGTTGAAGTCAAAATTATAGTTTGTGTGCTTATTTGTTTTTATTTTAGCTAGAATAAAAGCAGGTTTAAATATTCTGAAACCTATTTTAAGGTCAATATTATTAGCCCTTTTAAGCAATATATATATATATATATATATATATATATATATATATATATATATATATATTTATATATATATACAGTCATTTTCCTCCCTGTAAATAAGGAAAGGGAAATAAATACAATAGAATAAAAATACGAAGCAAACTGTGCTTTAAGCATCTTCACAGTAAGAAAAAAAATTATAGCTACAAAAGTCTTTCAGTCAAGAGCAGTGAGTAATTGTGCACTGACATTTTAAGAGCTTATATGGTTTCTCTTTTACATGTCTTTTGAATCTCAACCCATTTGTTTAATACACAAATGAGGGTTAATATAAATAAATCTCTAAACATTGTTTTGAAGCCTATTTGACCATTAAAGCGCTTACATTAAGATGACTTTAGATGCGTGTGCTCTGCTCTTCTCTGAGGCTGAGCACGCACACATAACAGCATGTAATCTCATTCGCGCTTTTAAAAATATGAATGATTCAAATGTACATTAATGAATGATGTGCATTCCATGCTTTAAACGATACATTACAGTTCATGCTTTTAGTAATGTTCATGTGAAACTGAGCTTTGCATAGCAACAAATGTGTGCAACTGGAAAGAGGGTGGTATATGATGCAATAATCGTTTTATCTCGATTAATGCTTTTTCATAATCGTTAAAATCGAATCATAATTTTCGATTAATTGCACAGCCCTACTATCAACGCAAAAAGCGTGTTTGCTGTGATCGGTTCCTTAGTGGAAACAAAAAAACTGTTCTCTGTATCTATTTCTGTTTTTCTTATTGAATAATTGCATAGTTTTAGCCTGATCTCATGAAGGAACGCAATTATTTTAAGTCAGTTTAGTGGCTAATCCGTATGAACTCATACAAGTTCAGTTGAGAATGTACGATTTTAAAAAGGAGGCGTAGCCCCAAACAAATCATACTAAATTGTTCGAATGAGATTGTACAAACTCTACTACTATACTAATTAGCCACTAAATTAAAATGTTACGAATTGCTGGGAGATATCGTTGCATAGTTCACACAAATATTACAATTCTGTCATCTTATGCTCACCCTTTTCTCTGTTGAACACAAAATAATTTTTTTATAATATTATAAATTTAAGCCCTGTAACCATTAACATCCATAGTATTTGTTTTTCCTACTATGGAAGTCGATGGTAAAAGGTTTTTAGCTTTCTTTAAAAATCTTTTGTGTTCAACAACAAAAAAAGTTTTGGGACCCTTAGAGGGAGAGTAAACAGTGAGTAAATTTTCATATTTGGGTGAAATATTTCTCTAGCATACAAAAAGTGCAAGCTTATTTTTGCAATATTAGTTTTAAAGATGAAAAAACTTCTCTATACCCACCTGCCCATGGGCCATCCCCTGAAAGAAAGTCTTTTTTTTTGGACAACTTGTAATCCGATTGACCAAAACTCATCCTAACACCAGATGTAAACTTGGCTTGGAAGGTGTGACAATAGCAAACCTTTTGCCACCTAGCTGTATGTGCAATATAATCACACTTCCATTCCCAGTGGGGCGCAGACTCCCACCTCGGGACCCAAATGGAGCAGCTGATCACGGCGTGTATCATGATAACAATGCATTATACACACAAATGTGAAAGACAGAAGAGTGAGCTGTAACCTAAACTATATAGACAAAGCTCAGCGGGGAAGATATCGCGGCTGTGTAACCGGAAACTATAAAGACCAGACTCTCAATGAGATGAAGCCTGCAAGGCTGCTGTAAGGTACACCACTTTTATCTGCACTCTTATTTCATTATGGCTTGATTAATGTTTGCTAAAAGGTTAGACCCATCTGACTCACCTAAGATTACCATCTGATCTCTGCAATGGCTGGCCTGTAATGTAACTCCATTACACAGAGACAACTCTTAATGGAATTAATATTTAAACCCATGAAACGCTGCTGCTCAGGTGGCCACAGCAAAGAACACACTGGGTAAAGGTGGAAGAGAAATGACAGTAGTTTATTTCACTTTCCCTACTTACCAACATAACGCTCGACATCCTTGATGGAGAAATCCGGCGGAGGTAACCGGAGACCAAGTTCTTCCCTTTTGGATACAATGATGGGATAGCGGAAGCCATGCCGCTCCAGATATCTCTGGGTGACCTGACCGCCATGCATTGGCTGCAAGATCTCATCTCCACTGCAGATTTAAACACAAGAGAAATGTAGATTAGGGTGAGAAAACAGCAGTTAAGAAAGCATCTAATTGTAGACATAGATGTATAAGCTCTGAAGTTTGGCACTCCAGTTTCAGTTGTTAATTGTTTTTCAATTGTCCATTAAATAGAAATGCAATGAAAATTATCAGCTTAAAACATTTTCATTTTTCAGACGAATGGAAGAAATGCTGTGTTGTGCCACATTGCCTCAGCGTGGTTTGTTGCTGTACTGTCAACTAACTTGCATGCAGGCCATGGTCAAAGTTCAATATAGCTGTATATTTTCCAGATGTACCCACATACATTGCTATTCTTTTGAGCATGTTCAGTACATGTATAGATATGTCCACTGAAATAACATGCCGACGAGACATTTCCATGTAGTATACTAGTTCCTGCTGCTTGCAGTAGCACAACTGTGCTGTCATGGCAACTCTCACTACATGATGCCTCTCGACTCATTTCGTGATCTGATCTGACATAAGATAATAGTTTGATCATGCAGATGGGCATAGAATCAAGTGAAGCGAGTCATATACTGTCATATACATATCCACTTTAAATTGTATTGTATGTTTTGGTATGTCCATCTTTTGCAGCAAGTATAGCAGACCAACAACAGTTTCAATATAGTTTCTGATAACTTCAACACTAATGCCTGATAATAATTAGATGTTACGGTCAATAAGATGTGTTTATTTTATTGCCTTGCATTTCTTAAAATTCACTATAATTTAAGTTAAGTTACATAAAATCTTACAAAATTACTAACGATAATTATTTTTAATTCTAACTAAAATAACTATTGCAAAGCATTTTCAGCCAAATGCAACTGGAATTTTTAGTTTTCATGCATCTCTATTATAAAGTAGATTCGAATATATTACATATCTATTATTATCAATGTTACATATCTATTAGTATCTATAAGTATCAATGTTAGGCCCTGTTTACACTAATACGTTTTAGGTTTAAAACTGTGTTTTAGAATGAAAACGAACCACGTCCACAATGACATTTCACCTAACGTTTCTGATAAACTGTCCATCAACACTACACCACCGAAAACACACATCACATGACTATACACGCATTCTGGCATGCGCTGAAAGCTGCTTCAGCGTATTCTCGCATCTGAGCTCTGAGCACACCAGCCTGACTGAGAGCAGCGGAACGTCTGCCACAAATCTGCCGCTGGATCTCATCTCTCTGTAGGTGTTAAACGCAATGTAAAATTCATCTTGTGTAGTAGACCTATTTCTAACAAGTCAGTCTTTTAAATCTATAAGCCTACTTGTTCTCAGGAACTGTGTTTTGACTGAGCGCAAGGATGTTAGCATACCTTTAATATATGTAATCACATACACTGATTCTGCACGTTTGACCAATTACTTGCCTTTATTTCCAATACTTTATAAACGTATTGTACTTTATATTTTAATAATTATTTATGATTATTATATTCAGCGAAAGAGACAGCTATTTCATATTTCACCATGCTTTTCTTCTGATAATCTTGAGCACATATTGCTGAAACCACACAGTGAGCCAAATGTTTCATATTTAACAATGAAAATGAAGAGGTATTAATTAGGTTCCAATTTGTTATAGTTTTACTATAGTGAAGATGTCGGGCATATAAATATATACATGATGCCTTAACATTTTTGGTGTATGTTATGTTTAAGTTGTTAATATAGTAATTAAAAGAGACCGTGCTTTATGGCATGTTTTCATTTTATTGTTAAGATAGCCAGGGTGAATGACAACATAAAAGTACACTGCCAATACATTTGAAGATTTACCCGACATGTCATCATGTCCTTGGGAGTTCGTTATAAATTTTATAAGTCTGAACTTTCAGGGAAAAGACGCAAGTCTGATTTTTGGGACTTTTTCTCAATATCAAGTAGACTACACAATCAGGCAGCGTGAATGTCGGCAGCCTTGCCTTTGTTTTCAGAAGTCTCCATTTTACCCCCTCTACGCTGACCCGGGGCAGCAGCGTTTTAAAACCAAAACAGCCTTTTCATCGTTTTCAAAATGCTATGTTTTCAGGGCTTGAAAACTCTGGTGTAGTGTGGGCGGAAGGCATAACAGTAGCAAAACTAAAACGTATTAGTGTAAATGAGGCCTTAGTTTCATTTGAAAGAGGTTCTAGACTACAACAGTAAGAACCTGGGGACTCATGTACAAAGACTTGCGTTGAATTAATACTAAAACATTGTATATGGACAAAGCTGCAAATGTGCGTACGCAGTAAAGAAATCAGATGTATGAAACACTATACGCAAAATCCCCCGCATATTTTCTTTGTATATAGAAATTAACGTGAAATTGAGCGCAACATGAATGAGCGCAAAACCCCTCCTTACCTCCTCCCCTTAATAAATATGCTAATGACTACACTTTGGCAAAACCAAACGAAAAAGCAATAGCAAAAGTGAGCATAAGAGAAACTTCACAGAATGTGTATTGGAGATGCTCCTATCAGAGGTAAACCGGAGAAAAATTGTGTTATTTGCCAGTTTGTCCTCCGGAATTAATAGCAAAAGAAAAAATATAGAGTGGGAGAGTTTAGCTGATGCAGGTAACACAGTGAGGTCTGAACATCACACTGCGATTGAATTAAAAAAGAAATGGTCTAATGTAAAGGTGCAGGTTAAGAGGAGAACAGCGGCGCGCCGTCAAAGTGTGGACCGAAGAGGAGAGGCCACGGGATGCTGAACTAACACCCTTTGAGGAGAGAGTTACCTCAATTGTGAGCAACACTTTACTGTCTGGAGTAGTATCCGTGTCTGTGGGAGACACAGATGTATTAGAGGAACACTTTGTTAGGGCAGTAAAGCAACACCCCTTCGCTCTCAGGGCAGCACCACTAGCATTTCAGCTGCCCAATCGCCCGCTCTAAAACCAGCCGAGTGCGAGAATGGGGATAATTTTATCTAATTTTAACTAATTTTGTCAGTTTGTGGGTTGTTGTGGGGGGTTAAAAGCCATGTCTTTAATGGATAACCGCGGTCTCCTGATATTCAGTTAAATAATTGCGCTCATTTAAAATTGATAAAATAAAATATTAACTTAGCTGGAATAATATCTTTAAACACATCACCAAGAAGCCATCCATCGCGCACCTTGCCACCTTGGAGCCTTCGGATTCGACCATTGACAATGTCCTCTAATAAGGCCAACACTGCCATTGCCATAGACTAAGGGTTGTATACATTTGCATATGCTTTTATATGTTCTAAATCATATAATTGGTAAAAAAAAAAATTATATTGTGTCAATTAACCCACTTTATCAATTTTAAATTGATAGCAATGTTTTTCGCATGTGTTGGTGCGATACTATGTAGTGTGCAATTCAACATAATTGCCTCTAGCAGTTGCCAATGGAAATCAAGTAAACATACAAGAAATGCAAGTATGCCAGACATGAAGTTGGCGCGGACCAAAGCACATTCTCACGTTCATTTAACGTTAGTAAATCCAAACGTGAGCATGAAATCTGGCGTACGCAAAGTTTTTGTAAGTACGCAGCATTGAAACATGAGGCCCCTGGTCCTTTGTTCACTTCATTTTACAACAGTTGTGTGGTTGTTTATTTGTTTATTAAAATCTTTTAGATTGAAAACAAAACAAAAAAAAACTATTATGACTATTTTGAATCCTACAGTAATGTTGCAGGCATTTACCCTGTCTTTGTAACTAGTTAATTTAAGATGTACTCAATACTTGGTTGTTTTTAACATGAGTCAAATGGCAATACATGAGACAGTCAAAACTGATGATGAGTGCTGTGATTTACAATCAAATTGTTCAGGTGAGTGACGCTGCTTTTTTTATTATGCACATATGTTTTGTGTGGCATCATTAGAGACAGCGAGCATTGGAGTGCTTTGTCATGATGGTTTTGGTTTCCCAAATTTGGCACACGTACCTGGGGAAGGTCCTGGCCTGCAGCTCCCGAACAAAAACTGAGGTGCCAGCCTGCACTGGCTTACTGCCGTCATCTGGCTCGGTGTAGTCATGTCTGTGCCAATTCCTCCGTTTCTTCACTGTAAAAACAAGGGAAGGAGAATTCAATACTCTTGGCCTCACAGCAACAACACCACCATAACATCTGTTGTGTTGATCAAAACGGTTCAGCAGAGCAGAAAGTTTTAATCCTTTAAATTTTGTTGTCATCTGATAATTAGGTTTGTAACAAACTCTCAACAGGGGAAAGAAAAATCTGCAGGGCTTTTTAAAATTAAAGTGGCAAGGGGGAATCAAACAATCTAAAAAGAGGAGACTTACTGAGAGAGGGTCCGTGGTGGACATCACAGTTGGGACAGTGGTAGACGTCAATGTCCACAGCATAGTGCTCTTCAACCTCGACACAGCTGCAAGAGAACAGACACGTACATTAATGGATGCTTACAACATAAAATAGTTTTCTGGGGAAACAAAATGATTCTGATGTGCAATGACCAATAGCTACTTGAGTTTGGTATTTTCATGTTTACCAAAATTACATTTATTTACAATTACAAAAATAAAAGTTAAAACAGAAATATTGTGAAGCATTATAATTTTTTAGCTAAAAACATTTTCCAGTTACCTACATAGTAAAATGCTATTTACATTTTTGCAAAGGCAGAGCTGAATTTCAGTATTTATTGGAAAACATTTTGTACAAACATGTTTAATTGCTATTTTTGATCTATAAAAAGCATCATTGACAAACATGAACATTACTTTATTTATTTTTAATTGTCGAATTTAAAAAAAAAAAAGTTTATGCATGCTCCTGGCTTAGTTATGAAAGGAGAGCACAGAGAAATCTGCATGTTTGTTTGTCTTTTTTTTCTTGAATTTTTAAAAAATAATAAATTTTATACTGCTGTACCCTTTGCATCTTTGTGTGTGTGTGTGTGTGTGTGTGTGTGTGTGTGTGTGTATGTATGTATATATATATATATATATATATATATATATTATTTCTGCATGGCCTAATCTTTAATCTATAATGTTATTTTATATATTGTTATACACACACACACACACACACACACACACACACACACACACACACACACACATTTATATATATAAAATAACATTATAGATTAAAGATTAGGCCATAGAGCAATAATATATATATATATATATATTTTTTTTTTTTTTTTTTTTTTTTTTTTTTTTTTTGCAGTGTTTTGTGTTTTTTATATTGTTCTAGATGCAAGAACATAATATTGTATTGCTTAATGTGAATGTCACAAGGAACAGAGAAGGGTTGCAGAAAGAGGAAGTATATTTGGGTACAATACCCAAAGGACTGCAGAATGAGTGACGTTACACCAAAACTCCAGTTGTTAATATCAGTTGTGTATATATGCTGGAGTCAGGGAAATGCAAGTTAGTTGCGAACCTCCTGAATGCAATTCTTGTATTGCACTGAGGTAACAAATTTTTTTTCTGCTGCTAGATTTAAAAAGTTGGTGTCTTGTGATTCTTTGTATTTAATACAGTAAGTCTCTGACTAATATGCATCAATAAAAAAACAGAGTTACAGTTTGCTTATGCATGATAAAACTAATACAAGGAAAAAATTTAAGCTAATTAACATCAACAATATTAACAATACTTATTAATAATTATAACTTGGCCCAGACAGAATCTGCTGACATTTTTTTTTGCGTGTGGGCCTTTATTATAACTTAGCAATAATTATGATTATTTTTACAATTGTGTTATTTTTTTCCTGATTACAGATTGGTTATTTTTTTCGCAATTTCTAACTGAGCATCTTGTACATTCGTCTTATTTGAGAAAGAAGGCCATGATGTTGTATAACACAGCCTCTTTATAAACTGCATTTAGCGCCAACGCTAAATATACGTCTCTACATGCTTATCAAACAATACACAAAGCAGCATGCACTTGTACAACGGGCTTATTAAAACATTTCCCCACACCCAGAGTTTTCAGTAGCTTTGCCAGCACGCATCTTATCGTTCAAGATCCGCTTGCCCCACTTCTTACATTTTCCACACCGCACCTTCCAATTAGCTTAAAGGCATGTTGTTTCACAGGAAGTCATATGACGAGCCAGTTCTTGGCATTCAGTGCAGATTCATTAGCCAGGCAGGTAATGAGGCCTCGCACACTTTTTTGGCTCGGGTTTTGCTAAGCGTTGCCAAAGAAAGCAATTTCGCTAACTCCTTGGTTTGAGTGTTACATTACCCAGAATGAAGTGCTCCAAACAAACGAGGGTTTCACACAGAGAATGCCTGAATAGCTGGAAATAGTCTGATGGTGCAATACAGTAGCTGCGTTTCCATCCACCTATTTTTATGCACATTTTGGAATATAAAAAATTTTAAAATAATAATAATATAAAAAAAAACCTAAATGTGCATAAAATTTGAAAATGAGCATACAGAGTAGGATAAACTTTTTATTTATGCTACGACAGAAACGGATTTAACCAAATAAATTCCAGCATTCGCGTTAAAAAAAGTCATGTGATTTTGCTTCAACAGATCATGTAATAACAAAAATGGTGAAACGTGACGGGTATGTTTAGGTGGATAACAAGGTCCGAACATTTTTTAAATGTTATATACACTAAGAAAAAAAATCCTAAATGGAAAACATCAGTGGAACACGCAAATCTTCCAAGAAGTTTGAGTGGAGATGATTCTAAAACATAAGTCTATGATAAGTCTATAAGTTCTATACATTTTACTGGCAATTTGTCAAATCCCGGGATTGTATAGAATGCCTTGGAAATGTATAAAATGCTTGATGGTTTTACGCAAAGTATAAAATATGAGTTTTTGTAAAGATTATGAATACTTTTCTTAGGCATTCTAGACAATTCCAATGCATTATAGAATCACAAATATCATTCAGGCAAAGTGTCAGATCATCACAACAAAAGCCTTTATTGATTCGTCCACTAAGATTTGGTAACTGGCTTCGGTTAATAAATAAATAAATAAACAAAACAGTTTTTAGCAGCATTGGCTCTTATTTAAGATAATTTATCGTATAACCGTCGTTGCATATCAACGTTGTGATTCCTGTCTTAGCACTACACGCCCTTTTGACATGTTCACACAACAATTCATGGGGAAACGTTAAGGCTGGTTTATACTTCTGTGCCGAGTGATCGTCGTGACCCACGGCGCCTGTCTTGCGCGTAGCCGTGCATTTATACTTCTGCGTGCTGTTTATGTTGTTGTCCAATAGCACTTCTGAAACAGTAGCAGTGGCAGTAGGCTTTTATGTTTCTCTGTGTCAAGTTTCTTTGTGGGTGTTTTATCTTTTAATCAATGTACACGTAGCAAAAATTCGCTCATTCAGAGGCAGGAACCGGCGAATGTGTAACAACTTTTATCATAAGGGTAAACACAACACAAAAGTTTTCATCTGGAGCTCCTTCACGGGACTCCACACTTATAAACACTCAATCCATCGGGCTTGGGGCCATCAGCACCAACCATACTCATCACAGCTACCAAAACGACCAATCACAGAGCATGCGCTACGTTCAGTTGCGACGTGTAGTAACATTTTTCGAGAAGTGTAAGTCACCGTCGGTTTCAGTGACTGTGCCAGCCACGCACCATACCCGTGCCCTAGGCAATGTATAAAGTAGCCGGATTTCACAAATTACCTGTGACATATACAAAAAAAAAAAAAAAAAAGTCCTTCTGTCTTGAGATTTTAACGAGACTAAACATATTCATTCATTTTCTTGTCGGCTTAGTCCCTTTATTAATTCGGGGTCGCCGCAGCGGAATGAACCGCCAACTTATCCAGCAAGTTTTTATGCAGCGGATGCCCTTCCAGCTGCAACCCATCTCTAGGAAACATCCACACACACACTCATACACTACGGACAATTTAGCCTACCCAATTCACCTGTACCGCATGTTTTTGGACTGTGGGGGAAACCGGAGCACCCGGAGGAAAACCACGCGAAGGCAGGGAGAACAGGCAAACTCCACACAGAAACGCCAACTGAGCCGAGGTTCGAACCAGCGACCTTCTTGTTGTGAGGCGACAGCACTACCCACTGCGCCACTGCCTCGCCCCACTAAACATATTAGTAACATTATTATTGGTAACAAGTTAAAGACACGCATAGTTAAAACAATCGACACGTTTGTAAACATTTAATGATGTCCTTTTTAATGTATTTATGTATTGAAACAGACAGATTTTAAGTCCCCAAAAGGTGCATCTATGTGGGTAACTGCAGAGAAGTAGGAAACGTGTAGGGCGAGAGCAAAAAAAAAAAAAAAAAGCTTAAAAAGATGGTCACATTTAAAAAATACATGTCACCAAATATTCTTGGGCGGCCATTAATATACTTCTAAAGCAAATGATGATCAAAAAAGATAAGTTAAAGAGCAAGACGCTAAAATTTAAATTCACATTACTTGGGAAATAAGAGAAACACAGAAATAAACAATGTGTGTGAATTGCCCTGTACAAAAAAAAAAACAGAGTTTCCTTACATTGCCTGATGAATGAATGCAATGTAGATATAAAAACAAAACAAACATTTTTTTGGCATTTCCACATTTTCAATATATTCTTTTTGCTTTTAATAACCACAAATAGTGCAAGTCTGTGGGGAAACACTGCAATATAAACAATCATTTACTTGAAATACAACAGGACGTTTCCAACAAACTTAGCAGTGCAGAATTGTATGTAAAACATTCCCTTCCATGCTTGAAAGCCGATTGTGAATCCAAAGACTGAAGCGATTCTGCAGTGACCGAAGAGTAACTCCAGACTGGGTCATCTACGGTCGATTATGTTTAACCCCAGACAGGCCCGACTAAACCAGAGCTCCAGATGTGAGGTTAGATTTGGTTGGGCTCCAGGGTACGAGACGTGAGGTGAGCGGGGGAGGGGAAGAGTGTTTGTGTTGGAGACCACTTGTGGGAAACAGTAGCATTTGAGTGCCAATGGTTGCGTCTACATCAAAAGCATTAAACTAGCCGTCATGCTGGGAAAATTTGGATTGGAAGAGAATTCAGATTATTAATAGCAACAGCTTTTCATTGACTTTAAAATATTAGGTTTTTAGTTTTTATTTAACTACAAAAAGTACAGTTTACTTGAAAGGTTTATTGGGAAAATTTGTTTTGATCAAATATTAAAAATAAAAGTTTTTTCAATTTAGACTTTTTTTCTCTTCACAATTTTGAGTTTATAGCTCACAACTTTGTTAACATGACAACAATGTAACCAAAATTTTCTGCGTTTTTAAAACGTTTTCTATGACAACATTTGCGAAAAGATGCTTGGTCTGTTTACACACATTCATAAAAAAATTACTGTATTACATTTGCAAGACAATTATTTGGCGCTCTTGTCT